GGCTCCGCACTGGGGTTGGAGCCTGCTTACGATTCTCCCTCTCCCTCTGCCGCTCCCTCACTTACGCTCTCTAGAAAGGAAGGGGAAGGGAGGGAGAAAGAGAAAGAGAAAGAGAAAGAGAAAGAGAAAGAGAAAGAGAAAGAGAAAGAGAAAGAGAAAGAGAAAGAGAAAGAGAAAGAGAAAGAGAAAGAAAAGAAAAACAAATTTACAATGTGGTGTTATAAGATAGTTTTGTTGTTTTAATGGAAGAAAAAAAAGATGATCAGTTTATAAATCAAGATCAATTTGCCTGCCATCTCTTGGGTTCCTGATGAACTTACTGGCAATCACCAAACTCCCTGAGTCTATCTAAGTAGAATTATTAAAATTCATATTCTTAAAATGCAACTCCCTAGCCCTACGTCAACTGAGAGTCAAAGTATTTTTTATTGTTATTGCTATTACTGTTATTCAAAGTCCCAATTCCCCAATTCCCCAAGGAGAATCCTGTATATCTGTATGTGCCTCATAGCCAGGATGTGCTATTAACATGGAAGATGTTAAGTCATCTTAGATAAAGGTGAAATCCTTTTCCCCACTAATAAGTAAAAATAATTAGATATGCTTCTGAAAAATTTCAAATCAGTGGGTAAATCATCACAGTGCAGAAACGCCTGAGAGTAAGCACAATTAAAAATGTATTAGGCTGGGGCGCCTGGGTGGCTCAGTCGGTTGGGTGTCCGACTTCAGCTCGGGTCATGATCTCACAGTCCATGAGTTCGAGCCCCGCATCGGGCTCTGTGCTGACAGCTCAGAGCCTGGAGCCTGCTTCGGATTCTGTGTCTCCCTCTCTCTCTGACCCTCCCCCATTCATGCTCTGTCTGTCTCTGTCTCAAAAATAAATAAACATTAAAAAAAAAATTTAAAAAAAAAATGTATTAGGCATCCAGTCATTCCTAACTCTGTCAGTAGCTTTGTAGCAGGTGGGACACAATATAAAGTTTCAAATATTACATATTTACACAAATGGGGTATTTTCAAAAAAGAAGAAAAATAAAATTATAGTAAAAGATGAAATTAGCTCCCTATCTCAAGAAACATATACAAAAATAAAATTCATACTAAATAAAGGCTGGCAAAATTGAATTTTTAAATGCTTACTGGAAAATATAGGTTAATATCTTTTAGTTCTCCAGGTAAAGAAATACTTTCTTAAATAGTACATAAAATGTAGTAACTAGAGAAGTGTGCAGAATACAATAAAAATGTCCATTCATCAAAAGACCCCTCAAAGCGAAAAGACAGCTTACGAAGGAGAAAATACTTGCAGTTCATACAGCTGACAAATGGTTAGGATCAAAAAGAAACAAAGGACACTTACCAACCAACAAGAAGAACACACACACACACACACACACACACACACACAAGCAAGAGATAGGAAAACAGTATTTCATAGAAAAGACACACACGTGGCTAATAAAGATATGAAGAGGAGCTCGGGGTCACTAGTGAGCCACAAAATACAGAAACCACAATGAGACACCTTTTTGCACCCATTCAGTCAGCAAAAATGAAAACTTCTGATACTACAAAACATTGAAGAGGGTGTGAATTCACAAGACCAATTATGCATCACACGTGGGAGCATATAAGAGCGTGACCACTTTGGGAAACCCTCTGACATGACACCCCCCGCCAAAGTGATCAATTACGTAGCCTATATTCCAACAACTGCAGTCCTAGGTATATACCTAAAACAATCTCCAGCACACAGACGACCAAAGATACATACCCAAATGTGCCTGTCGGTCCCGGTCCATAGGGGAATAGGAGAATGGAATTTGATACAGCAGTCCAAGAGAACGAGCTCAAAAATATGGACACATCTCATGGAAAAAGAAAGCACCAGAGAATTACATGCATGATACCATAACATGACTCATGCATGGCACGGTTTTTATAAACATGAAAACAATTAAAGTAAAACTAAATTCTTCTATGAAAACATGTAAATAGTCTAACTTTACAAAAAGGAAAACCAAGGACAGATCAACTCAAGATTCAGAGTGATCATTCCCTGCAGATGGGGAGGGGAAGTCCAGGAGTGGGCTAATGAGGAAACTATTTGACTAGTTATGGGGTTGAACTTCTGGGTTTTTTTTTTTTAATTTTTTTTCTTAATGTTTTTATTTATTTTGAGACAGAGAGAGACAGAGCATGAACAGCGGAGGGGCAGAGAGAGAGGGAGGCACAGAATCGGAAGCAGGCTCCAGGCTCTGAGCCATCAGCACAGAGCCCGATGAGGGGCTCGAACCCACAGACCGTGAGATCACGACTTGAGCCGAAGTCGGACGCTCAACTGATTGAGCCACCCGGGCGCCCCTGAACTTCTGGTTTTGATGTTGGTTTCCCCAGGGATTATTACATTATTAAAATAGCTACGAAAATATACAAAAGCAGATTGCAGACAAAATGAGAGAGTGTCACCAGCCAAGCATTATGACCGTTCCAATTCTGTGCACATGAGCTCCTTTAATAAAAGGGACAAATGCCCTTTGAGAACAGACTTAGGTAAAATATCAAACTGAAATCATTCCAGTCCAGACAGTGACAAGCTCCACCCACCAACCCTGACTGGGACTATTTATAGAAGGTTTGTTATTTGTTCTAACACGACTTACAAAGCGGAAATTGAAAACATCTTAAAAATCCATCACTAGATGGATTAAAACATGAGGCCATGTTCATGCTTTCATTAATTCACCTCATCAGCACATTGACAGAGTGCCCACAATTTGTCAGACACTGTGGGACACAGTGATGAGCTAGACCGACTGGGGCCCCACTCCCATGGGGTTAACTCTGGTGGGGAAGACAGGCTATAATCAAAAGATCACATGTGTAAATGTGCCCTGAAAACAGATGAGGGCTGTCAAAGAAAGGAGCCTGGGGTTATGGAAGGGAAAGAGGGAGGGAGACTAGCTTAAACCATTTAGTGACACTTCCCCGGGGACAGGGGGCATTTAAGAGAGATCTAAAACAGAAACTTGGTGGTATTTATCTAGGCGGAAGGAAGGCAGAAGAGGGGCTGCGTAGGAACAAAGACACGAGACAGGCCTGCAAGCAGAAGGGAGCTCAGGCCGTCGGGGAGATGAGAGGCCGAGGTGGCCAGACCCAGAGCACGGTGGGCAGTGCGGTGAGATGGGGCTGGAAAGGCGGGTGAGCAACAGGTCACAGAGGAGGATGAGGCTGAGGATATCGGTCTATTTCCAAAGAGCAATGGGAAGAAGGGGTTTAAGTAGGAAGGCAGCTACAACAGATCGGCACTGGAAAATGATCACCTGCCACCATGAGGAGAATGGAAGGTATGGGGACAAAAGCCGGTGCTCACTTTAACAGGATCACTCTGGTTCGGTGTACAGCAGGCTCAGGAGAACACGGAGAAGCGGTGGGAGGTACCCCAGTAGCACAGACAAGGGGCAGAGGCAGCTAGCTTAGGGGTAGCGTTAGTGGGGCTGCGGAGAGGGTAGTAGACTTGAGAGGTCTCTAGGCAGTAAAAACGGAGACCACTTGGAGGTAGAAGGGGTGTGGACAGTGAGGGACAGGGAGGCACCCAGATGGGACACTGGAAGCTGAGCAGAGTGGGGCTGGGGCATGATGAGCTCAACTGTGCAACGGCTGAGCTTAAGGTGGCCCGGGACATCTCAAGGGGGATGTCAAGTAAGCAGTAGATAAGGGGGTCTGGAGGGAGTCTGACCTGGAGATACAAATTTAGGAGACACGCTGTGTGACTGTTGAAATGAATGAGGCAAATCCATATGTAGTGACGTGAAAGGTTGTCTATGATGTACTGGCAAATATACACATACTATAATCACTTTTTTAAAAAAGCGTATAGGAAAATAACCATCTGATGTCCAAGAGAAATATACACACTCACATGTAGATGCGCGTGCACACACACACACACACACACACACACACACACACACTGGGTCTGGAAAGAATTTATCAGGTTATTTACCTATCCCCGTGATCGATCTTTTGGTTGGAAGAGATGAGTGAAGAACTTTCATGTATTCATATAAACTTTAGCATCGTTCGGTCCCGTTTCGGACAGTGAGCACTTCCATCACTCCAACTGCCCCTTCTCTCTATCCCTCTGGCGTTCCCCAACTCCCACCTCTTCCTGAATCCCCACCCAGGGGCCAATGTTGGCAACAGGACGAGATGGAAAAGGAAAGGTGATGCCAGTTTTGCACATTATCTTAGAGTGAAAAAGGAGAAATTTGGGGTTTGCTTTTAAGCTGTATCGAAAGAGCATATCAGAATGTTCACAGTAATGCCATTCCTGCTCCTTGAGGGCTAATAACTGAATTGGCTGAGCAGTTAAGTCAATTGAGATGACTGTGGAACACAGAAGTCTGTGGGCATACTGGCTTCTGTGTTCTCCTACTGGTCACCCATTGTGCTCCAAGGATTCAAAAGTCTCATGTAAAACCCACGAATCCCTCACACTGATCAAAGAACGCTGAAGACCTCCCCCACTGTGGAGAACAGTGTACCAAGAACTCGGCTTAATGAACACACATGAACAAAAGGAAATTAACAAAAACGGGAGGATGAGGTGGCTTCACATAGCACCCCGCACAGTTTATTCTAGATTTTTCTTGTTACTAAGCATAATCACCCAGCACAGTCCCAGTCTACACTCAGTGTGTATTTGCAGGATTGTTTCTGAAATGTCCAGACCTCTCTTTGACCAAGCATATCATTATCCCAGAACAAAAATGGAGGACCGCTAAGACAGAAGCATCCTAATGTCAGAAAGCGAGCCAAGGAACAATAATGTCTATCCCCATGTGGATTTCCTTCTTCAAATGAAGCACACATCGATAGCATCAAGTGAGATCTTCAAGTTGCCTTGTCTAACAGCTAGACAATGCGTTGCTTACGCATCCTTAATGTGTATATTCTACAGAGAGATAGGTAGTAACCATTATCTATGGAAATCATACCAGCAAGGCAGACGCAGGTGAAATTGCTCCCGTCTTGTTTTTCATTTGCATCTATGCAGCTGGCGTTGTTCTGGCAAGGCTCCTTCTGGCAAGCATCAAATTCTTCACAGAAAGTGCCCACATACTGATCATCACAGCTACAGGAAAAAGTTGCCTGAAACACAAACATATCATATATGTTACCTGAGTCCTCTAAAATGTATGCTTTGGCTCTAAAATGTAACTCGAAGTTCAAAGGCACGGCTTCTTTTTATAATTACACCAATACTGAATGTTTTCATCACATCACTTATATTTTGATCTGATTACAATCATAGCTTTGAGAGATATTGTATGTATGTCCTTACATTTTTATTTCAAACATTTACTTTTCTCATTCTTTTTTACTGACATTTATCCCAACCATTTTCAACCTTACTAAAAATAGAAGTGGAAAAGATAACTGTATTTTAAGCAAAAATGAAGTTTTGCTGACCTGACATGGAAATGACAGTTTTGCTAGAGCAGATACATTGTGCTATAGCCATTAAATTAGATGTCATGCCAACCAGCTAAAATCCTTCAGCACAGTCAGCACTTGCAACAAAACAAAAACAAAAACAAAAACAAAAACAAAAACAAAAAAACACCATCAAATGTCCTACCCTGACCACCTTCCAGAGCACTGAAAGAATTTACTGAATCACCCTGTAAATTAGCCTCAACGTACAGCTATGCAGATGATCTGAGAGCAAGGGAAAAGAAAAGGAGTATAATCCAAGTAAACTTTTTGTTTGGTTTATATCACTGCTATCTTGGTAACAAGACCATTAACTCAGAGCACTACATTTGGTTGGGAGCTTCATTTCTGAGAGAGTTGTAAAATCCAAGTAAAACCGAGCCCTCCTGCTCTCAAGGCCTTAGTGCCTGAAGGTGGCAACCACCTAAAAGAAACACTAATCTGGCCCCAAGTCCCGTGTGAAGCAACGGATGTTGTTACTGCAGATCTTCATGAAGAGGGGAATGGAGGAAACAAAGGAACAATGTATGAGCAAAGCTTACTACTTACAAAAACTCAAAACAAAACAGAAAAAAGCACCTTCCCAGCATTCCCCAAGCCCCTACGTGAGGCAGGTGTTCAAATCTCTACCCATCCAAAGCCCCACCCACAGACTCTCCCAAGCCCACCCTTCTTCTCACCTCCTCCTCCCCAGTCCCAGCCCTCTGCCTCCAATCTCAGAGAGAGACTCTTCCCTCTTCTCCAGGTGTTATTAACTCAGAATCCCCACCCGGGTCCCTGACCCCCAAGCACACCACGGTGCCTTCCTTCCTCCTGAAGGAGGAAACGTCTCCATTCCTCTCTTTAATA